GCAATTCCCAAAGTCCCTCTAGAACAGGCAGGCTCCCACAGGAGCAGAGGAAGCAGGTACGCCAAGCACCTGAAGGGTTCTGCCTGTTCTTCCTTCCCCTTCACCCTGTTTAGTACCAGTCCCACCGTTACTATCCTCAGGTCTCCGATATAGTCACCACTATGGAAAAGAACCATCCTAGAGTTTTACAGCCATAACAGACCAATAGGAAGTACTTGTACAAATAAATGACATTTGCAAGGCTGTCTTCCTGAGCATTATGAGCTCCCTTATTAATGTACCAAAAAAAAAACCCCAAACACTCCAATTTCTGTATTCAGCAGTGTGTTTCAGCTAAGTTTTCCTCTGTGACCATTCTTTTTCAAAAAGGGAGATCTCCACTGTTTCCTGTACCTAAGGCATGAGCTCAAAGAGGTGTGAATTTGGTGTTCAACTCTGCCACCATTATATATATTCTTTTAAGGTTTATAATTATTTTTAGTAAAGGTACTAAAAGAAGCACTGGTATTGTCACAGCTTTAATTTCTGACTATCACTAAGAATTCAGTACAAACCCAAGTTTGAAACTGCCATGCTGGCACCAACAAAACATGGCATTTAAGATGGCGGTGTTCTGTGGTTGCAGAAAAGCCAAGTTACTTTTTAAGACTTGCTCTGAATGCTTTTATTGCCATACCTAGGGCTAGGTTTCACAAGATAACCTATCCCAAGACAAGTCACACTTGCTGAACAGGAGAAACACACACCTCCAGTAGATGAATTCAGAACTGAAACACTTCAGAGCTTTAGGTGCAGCTTGCTACGCACAACTAGACAGACAATTTGACAAGAATTAGGTCTAGGAATTTGTGTAACAATAAACTTTTCATGCAAAAGCTGTGTAATGTTACCATGGCATTCCATTATGCGATTGCAGATCAATCTTCTCTGCATCACTGAAACATTTTTAGTCATTCAGCACATTTATTTATTATTTATATGAAACTGAGATCTAACACCTGTTCTCTCTTCCAGCCTTTCTTAGCTGATGAGCTGGCAAAATGCATTTCTTCCCTCTTTCCCCTTCCTAATCTTTGGAGTGGTCACAGATGTGACAAAGACTTTATGCAGCATCTCCCCTGCTGCTTCAGTTGACTGTAACAGAACAAGTCCATAGACGGCCCTGGAAGCTGAGGCAACTTAAAAGAGACGCAGTCTCTGTTACAGCTTAGTCACAAGAATGGTAAAGTAGCAAGCCTGTGAGCTAGAACTTTGTTTTTAATGCTGGAAACTAAATCCCTAGTGAAGTTGGGGCATGGGGAGAGGCAAGCTAAGCTGTGTAGATGCAAAGATATGCATGAACTGCATGTGCACATTTGTTTCATTCCAGCCTGAGCACTGAAATGTCACCCATGCATTTCAACTCCTGTTTAGAAGCAAGCTATTCATCCATTTCAGCAGG